CAAATACTTTGGGAGCTTCTCTGTTCTGAATTACTTTGGAACTACCAGGAAAGACAGAAGATCACCCTGCCTCTTTAGTTTAAACTGATGCAAGAAAGCAAGCTCTTCACTGATGTGCCAAAAAACAAAAAACTTGCTGTCACTTTGAACTGTTTAAGGCAATTCCATTTTCACAAATTCTTCCATACCAATTTGTATGCTTTAGAGTTAATAAGCAGCTATGAGATTTAGGAAAGATTCACAACTGATGCAAAAGACTGTAGTCATATCATTCCTGTATCTGCTGATTTATGCTCTGTTTTAATACTAGCAGATTTTTACAGCATACTGTCAATTGTTCCCCAAGGTGTTGAACTCATTGATATGATAAAGTGATATAAATTAAAAGAATTCCAGTTAACTTAAAAGGACAGACAGATTAAATTACTGGACTGTCTCAGATCATAATTTAAAATTATTTAGTGATATATGTGGTATATATGACATAAAGATTGTAATCTAAAGGTGGATAAAGGCTGAGACATACTCCTAACTTCAGAGCTACTTGCCACAGAGTTTCTCCCAAACTTTTTAATGGGTATTTTTTTCCTTAAAATGATAACATCAATGTTACTTGATATTCCAAATGGTTTGAACTGCTTTCTGTGGTAGCAGGAATGGAAAAAAAAAAGCAGAAACGGACATACGCCAGTGGAATTTTAAAAAAAAGGCAGGGGGGAAGATTTTGGCTTTTTTTTTTTTTTTTTTTAAGAGACAGTCTGTTCCTTCCACGAACCGTGTTCTTTTTCCTTAAAGCTCTGGGGGTGGCGGGGGGAACCGGTCATGGCTTGCAGCACTGAACTACCCGAGGATACAGGCACACATCTCGGATGTGGTTTCTGTCCAGAATCCAATGACCTTGATATTGTTCAAGATTACTGGCTAGTTATTTTGTAGAAAGCCTCTCAACTTGCATTTCTCTAATATTTCCTCATGACTCACACATTAGGGACAGAAACCACCAAAGTGATGCTGTGATCCCTGTGCATGTATCAGGAGGCAGAGAATGTTGCATACACACAGAGACATATATAAATTCTTTTTCATATTCTTTTCCCTTATAGGTTATTACAAAATATTGAGTAGATCTCCCTGTACTACACAGTAAACTCTCCTTTATCTATTTTATATATGAAGTGGAGTGAGTGAAGTATAAGTCGCTCAGTCGTGTCTGACTCTTTTCAATCCCATGAACTATACAGTCCATGGAATTCTCCAGGCCAGAATACTGGAGTGGGTAGCTGTTCCCTTCCCCAGGGGATCTTCCCAACCCAGGGATTGAATCCAGGTCTCCTGCATTGCAGGCAGATTCCTTACCAGCTGAGCCACCAGGGAAGCCTAGTAGTGTGTGTATGTTAATTGCAACCTTTCAATTTATCCCTCCCCTCAACCCACCAGTCACTTTTGAAGGCTACTTAGGAACCAACTCAAAATCTTAAAAATTATGAAACTTGAAAATTGACAAGCAAATGGAGAACTGATTATTTACACTGGCTTATACCATCTGTGGGGGTTCCCAAGTGGCACTAGTGGTAAAGAACCTGCCTGCCTTTGATGCCTGGGTCAGGAAGATGCCCTGGAGGGGGAAATGGTAACCCACTCCAGTATCCTTGCTGAAGAATTCCATGGACAGAGGAGCCTAGTGGGCTACTGTCCATAAGGTCACAAAGAGTCAGACACAACTGAAGCATCTTAGCACAAACACACACATACCATCTGTACCTCCAGGTGACCACATAGATGAAGGGAAATTTCTCTTTACATATGTATTTCAAAAGTAAATGAAGAATAGGAAGGGGATATATGTATCCCCTTATAGCTTATTCACATTGTTGAACAGAAGAAACTTTACAAACAGCATTGTCAAGCATGAAGAATAAGAATAATTTTTCTCCAATAAGAAAAATAAATAAAATAAAAATGAAAAAGGAAATATTTTTAGAAAAGAAAAAAGAGTAAATGAAGAAGGGTAGGATTTGAAAATACACAATAGTTATCAGTTTGTAACTCTTAACAGATTATGAATCTAGGTGATGCTTCTCAGCAGCTGCTACCTCCATGAATGAGAAACGCTCTGACATTACCTGCCTCCTCGGGTTATGTACACAATATTACCTATGAAGTGTCCACTCTTAAATCCGATCACCCTCTAGATCTAACTATTCATCTACGTCGTTGGAAGGACTGATGCTGAAGCTGAAGCTCTAATACTTTGGCTACCTGATGGGAAGGGTCGACTCATTGGAAAAGACCCTGATATTGGGAAAGACTGAAGACAGGAGGAGAAGGGGGCGACAGAGGGCTAGCTGGCTAGATAGCACAATTGACCCAATGGACATGAATGTGAGCAAACTGCAGGAGATGGTGGAGGACAGAGAAACCTGGCAAGTTGCAGTCCACAGAGTCACAAAGAGCCAGACACCACTTGCCACTGAACATTCATCTACAGGAAATTTGGGGCACAATGGGACACATCAAATGCCACCCTGTGTCCATAGAGACAGAAAGCAGGTTAATGATTGCCCGGGGCTGAGGGATGGAGATAGGAGGAGGGAGTAACTGCTTAATGGATTCTGGGTTTCTTTTCTGGATTAAATAGTGGTGAAGGTTGCACAACATTGTGAATATCCTAAAAACCACCAAATGTACTTTTTGAAACAGTTCTTAAGTGGCGAATTTTATGTCATGAGAATTTTGCCTAGAATTTTTAAAAAGCAAAAAGAAAGACACTCTAGGGATGCCATAAACAAAATTCAGACTAAGAAACTATAATACAAATGACCCATTTATTTAACAGAAAAAAAGGGGGGATAAATTGGGAGATTTGGATTGACATACAGTACTATACATAAAACAGGTAATAAGAACCTACTGTATAGTGCAGGAAACTCTATTGAATGCTCTGTAATGACCTAGATGGGAGAAGAATGTAAAACAGGGTGGATATATGTTGTATGTGTATAATAACTGGCTCACCTTACTGTACAGCAAAAACTGACAAAATATTATAAACCAACTGTACTCCAATAAAAATTTAAAAAATAGGAACTTCCCTGGTGGTCCAGTGCAGAGGATACAGGTTTGATCCCTGGTCCGGGAAGATCCCAGGTGCCCTGGAGCAACTAAGCCTATGCGCCACAACTGCTGGGCTGCAACTACTGAAGCCCACTAACTTAGAGCCTGGGCTCCACAACAAGAGAAACCCCTGATCACTACAACTAGAGAAAAATCTGTGCACAGCAACAAAGACCCAGTGCAGACCAAAATAAATACATAAAATTTAAAAATTAAAAAAAAAATAGAAAATAAAAATTTTAAAGGCAAAAAAAAAAAAAAAGGCAAGAAAACAGAGGGATCAGAGGGGGAGAATGTGTACATTAAAAGAGATCAAAGAGATGTGTCAACCAATTGGAGCCAGTGGACTGTGAGTCAAATAAATCATCAACAAATTATAAGACAATCAGGAAAAGTAAACACTAGCTCTTTGATGATATTAGGGAATTACTGCTCATTTCTTTAGGTGGGATGATGGTATTGAGGTGATGTGTTTAAAAGCCTGTATTTTAGATAAACATACAGAAATATTGATAGCTAGAGCATGTTGGGGATTTGCAAACAGGAGATTAGGCTGAAATTAGATGGGTTGAAGTTGGGTGATGGGCTGATGGGGATTCATTAAACTAGTCTGTCCACTTTTACGTGTTAAATTTTCCCATAAATTTTTAAAAAAATTTTGGTATGCTTCTTCCCAGCCTTTAATCTGGGCATCTTCTCCACTTATTAGGGCTTTCTGGCTTATGGGAGACACTCACTAAACATTGGGTAAAGCCCCACAGCTTGGTGGCTACAACCCCAGCTTTAAAGTTGAAATCTGCTCACTTCTTACTAATCCTGGGACCCTTGGGGTGTCACTCACTTCTGTTCCCCATCTCTAAATCGGGGCTATTAAGTTATGCCTAGGGCTCCTAGGGCTGCTGTAAATAGTATATAAATGACATGTAAAAGACTTATTTTGTGTGTGGTATCATGTTCTTTTACATATTAGTTTATTTAGGTTAACACAATTCCACAAAAAATTAAACAGAATTACCATGTGATTTAGCAATTTCACTTCCGTGTGTCTGTGTGTCTGTGTGTCTGTGTGTCTGCGTGTGTGAGTCACTCAGTCATGCTTGACTCTTTGCAACCCCATGGACTGTACTCGCCAGGCCGCTCTGTCCCTGAGATTTTTCAGGCAAGAATACTGGAGTGGGTAGCCATTTCCTTCTTCAAGGGATCTTCCCAACCCAGGTCTCCCACACTGCAGACAGATTCTTTACCATCTGAACCACCAGGGAACTTCTCTGGATATGTATTCAAAAGAATGAAAGCCAGAACTCAGATATTTGTACCATCGTGTTCATAGCAGCATGATCCACAAGTGCCAAAAGATGGAAGCAACCCAAGTGCCCATCCACAGATGAATGGATGCACAAGAAATGGAATATCCATACAATGGAATGTCATTCAGCTTTAAACAGGAAGCAGAGTCTGACACCTGCTACAATGTGGATGAGCCTTGAGGATGTGATGCTCACTGAAAAGAGCCCTTCACAAATATGAATTCCACTTATAGGAGGTCCCTAGAGGAGTTAATTTCACAGAGACAGAAAGTTGAATGGTGGCTGACAGGGGCTGGAGGAGGGAGAATGAGGAGTTAGTGTTTAGTGGAGACAGAGTTAGAGTTTTGTAGGGTGAAGAGTTCTGGAGATGGATGGTGGTAATGGTTGGACAATATGATACTTAATGCCACTGAACCATATACTTAAATGGTTAACATGGTTATTTTTTTTAAGATGGCATGCTTTATGATATGTGCATTTTATGGTAATTATGTGTATTTTGCCATTAAAAAAAAAAACTTAAGAACAGTGCCTGGCACAGAGACAAAACACTGTGCTTATTAAATCACTGAAGAGTAATCAAAACAGCATTGCAGGACTGTGACCCCCCAAGGGCACAGGGACACATATTCTTGTTCTCAGGTATGTGCCCCAGGCCTGGGTAATCACAGAGGCTCCAGAAAGACTTGATTTTTGGGGGGTGGGGTGGGGACACTGCTTGCAAGGGCAATATCTTAGTTCCCTGACTAGGGATCGAACCTGTGCCCCCCTGCAGTGGAAGCAAGGAATCTTAACCACTGTACTGCCAGGGAGTTCCCAGATTTCATCTTCTGACCACCTGACACCCTTCTGGTGCCTCATCACTACCTGGCCCTCCTGAGCCCTCTTTACACCATCCATCTTCTCCATGCCCTGCCCTGTCCAAACCCAGGGGAGTCAGCACCCCCCAGGGGCTGTGTGTTCAGCCCTGGAGTGTGCAGTCCCACAGGACCCCCAGTTCTCTCACTGACCTTGGCCCCCTGGACCACACACCCTCACTCCACCTGTCCTGTCAGAACGCCCCTGCGGCTCTGGGCTCTGAGCTCTTCCAGGAGAGATGTGTCAGGGTCTGTCCATATCTCCTGGCAGGGCAGCCAGAGCCTGGAGGGCATGCCACGCCCCCACCCCCACTCAGGTGGCTCTCCTAGGGCTCAAGGGCACATCTGGCTTCTGCCAGAGGCTGGAGCTTCTAGAACAGCTGCCGGCACTCAGGTGATGGGGTGGGGGACACAGACACACACACTCTTGTGATCAGGGCGGGCGGGGCACTGCTCCGCCCCCTCCACAGTGAGAAGTGCCCCTCAGGCCAGTCCTGCCCACACCGGCCAAGGGCAGAAGCTGGGTCCTGAGGAGACCCAGAGGAACTGTTAGCGCCCCCCGCCCCTCCTCTGTCACGGGTGTCCCCCCAGCGGTCACTCCTCAGAGGTTGGTCTAGGATGGAGTGAGCTGGGGTGGAGCTGACATCGAGCAAGGTGGCAGCTGAGGAGGAGGCCAGGTGGACGGTAGAATGTCAGCAGTGAACCCCAACCTGGGGGCTGAGAACGGGGAGCAGTGGACACAGCCCACCCCTTCACACCCTCAGGTCTTAGGGCTGGCAGTCCTAGTGCCGGGGAGTCTAAGTGCACAACCCCCAGCCTTTCCTACCTCCCTCCCTGCCTCGGGGCGGCAGGAAGAGGGTCCACCCAAACCACACCCTCACCCACCCCAGGACCACCGTGGGCTCTGCTCTGTCGTGGGCGGGGGGCTGAGCCACGGTGGTGGGCGCCTGCAGGGTGATCCCAGCTCAGGAGCGCCGCTTGGCGGAGAAAAAGAAGACAAAGGCGCAGCGGCAGATTTCTGTACAGGAAGTTCGAATTATACATTTTAGTAACCGGGCGAGAGAAACGAGGCATCCGGGCAACAGTGCAGGGGCCACAGGGAGAATAAGAGATCGAGAGCTAGGGTTTGGCGTAAATCTTACAAAGTGTATAAAGAATCTGTGTTTCTCTACAATAACAAAAAACCAAAGGCTACAAGAGCGGTTGTATATACAAAACACGGAGATATTGCTTCACTTGCAAACAGGTTCCTGACCAGACGGGGAGACAAGACAGAGAGGGGGGCACGGGATGGGGTGAAGGCTGGAGAGCGCGCCGCGTGCAAAAAGGAGGGGGAGGTGGGGAGAGGGTCTTCTCCCAGCATAAATCTACAGGCAGGAGCTTGAGTCGCGCACGCGCGGGAGAGGTTGAAGGCGTGCGCGGTGCCGGCTGTGCGTGGGCGAGCAGGAGGTTGAGAGCCAAGAGTGTCCGCCTGCCCGGCCCCCGGCGCCTTGCTCGTCCGGCTGAATCAGCCGGGAGTGGGTTCTGGGTGGGAACCCGCTAGAGAGGGAGGGCGGCGATCGCTCCCCCGAGGCAGCCGTGGAAAACTGGAGGAGCCTGCTGCTCATCCTCCTGGCCTCTGGCCCGCGCCCTTCCTCCTACCACCCTCCCCGCCCCGCAGAGATGAGAGGCCCACTGGAACCCAAGGAGAGCTAGCTTTCCTTGGTTTGGTTCTTCGTGCGGAGCTCGAGGAGAGGGCGGGAGCCAGTCACAGAGGGGCGGGAGGGTGGGGGCGGGGCAGTGAGGGGGGCGGAGGGCCGGGACAGGCACGCGCGCTGGGAACAGGCGCGGGGCGGTCACAGGTTCTGGCAGCACTGCAGCTTGTTGGGTTTCTGTCCGTCGGTGGTGGGCGGCACGCTGATGTCCACAACGTTGTTTCCGGGGGACTCGTCGTGTGCTGCGCGGTCCGCAATCTGCTTCTGGGACACGATGCGATAGATCTCTACGGGGTGGGGGAGGGAAGCACCGGGTGAGGCCGCAGCACTCTTCTGGATGTCACTTCCTCCAGGCAGCCCTCTGGCTGCTGAGTTGAAATCCCTCCCAAAGGCTCCCACTGTGCCCTGGGCGCCCCCTAATGGGCTCCCGGAGGTTCCCCCAATCCCCAAGGCTAGCTGTGTATCCGGGAACAGAAGGACCCACACCTGTCTGCAAATGTACCTCCCAGCCAGGGCCACTCAGTTCTGTAAGATCAGAGGCCTTCTTTTCCAAAGGAGAAATTTCCAGAAGCCTGGGAGCTCCGAGTCCCTGAGGCTACATGCCTCCCCAACTGCCCCTGCAGGCTGTTCTCTAGTGAAGCTACCCAGGGCCCACCTGCAGGAGGGTCCCTGCGTTCTGAGTGACACATGGGTGGCCTCATGCTGTGGAGCAGGCCCTGTCTGTCCCCATGTCCAGACTGAACAGTGGTTTTCACGAAAGAAGGTTTGGGGGCTGTGCTCTGGAGCATGTGACCAGGGAGGCTGGGGCCCTGCCAAGGCCCACCCTCTGGGACCCCAGCTGGGCCTGTGACCACCTGTGAGGATGTTCTTGAACGCTTCCTCCACGTTGGTGGAATCCAGGGCTGAGGTCTCAATGAAGGACAAGTTGTTCTTTTCTGGAAGAGAGGATATGGCCCAAGTGAGTCAGCTGGTGGGGGTGGGGTGGGGGGCACCCCTTCGCCTGCCCACTCACCTGGCCCAGGAGATGAAGGTCGGGGGCCAAAGGGGTAGGACAGGATACTTACTCTCAGGGAGGGGAGGCTGGCTCTGTGACCACAGGCACAGAAGAGGCACCCAGTGTGGGCCAACTGCCTTGCCTGCCTTCCAGATGCTTCTCTGACGCCTCAGTCAGAGTCCGGCTCTCAGGAACATGGCCCCTTGAGGCCCCAGCCGGAGTGGATGACCCAGAGTGACCCCCCAGCCGCCATCTGGCCACCCCTTCAGGTCTGGCGGGCACTCACCTGCGAAGGCGCGGGCCTCGTCAGTGGGCACAGCCCGCAGGTGGCGCAGGTCGCTCTTGTTGCCCACCAGCATGATGACGATGTTGCTGTCAGCGTGGTCCCGCAGCTCCTTCAGCCAGCGCTCCACATTCTCGTACGTGAGGTGCTTGGCGATGTCATATACCAGCAGGGCGCCCACTGCGCCACGGTAGTACCTGTGAGGATGGAGGGGCGCGGCCAGGCGTGAGCTGAGCCAGTGCCTGAGGGGGCTTCCCAGGCTCCGTGGGCAGCGGCTCCTTAGCCTGAGGGGTGACCAACATGGCCTTGAGAGAGAGGTGCATGTCCTGAGGCCCCAGCTCCACCCCAAGATTCAGCTTAGGAATGGGGAGGCCTGAGGAGTGAGTTGGGGGTCTGGGGTCAGAAGACACTGCTGGGGTCAGCCACTAAAAGGAGAAGACCACCACACAGGGGAAGGGAAGAAGCTCTAGTGTCCGCTGTGACCTGTCCTGTCTGGGGCACCAAGGAGACGGATGGACAGGCACTCAGTCTGAGAGATCAAGGAGAAGAGGGGGACCTGGCCTCAGTGAAAGGAATCCAGGAGGCAGCAAGTGGCTGATGGGAGTTGGAAGGGTCAGGGAAGAGGGAACCTGAGGGGGTCATGATGGCTGGGTGGCCACCAGGAGGCCAGGATGGAGTGGGGCCTGGTGTGAGCACTGATGGCGGGCTGAGCAGATAGGCTGGGGAGCAGGCAGAGGAGAGTGGCCCAGGCCAAGACTGACGATGACAGCCTTCACCATGCAGCCAGTGCCCAGAGACACGGCAATACCTCAACAGGACCCGGGGTGAGAGGGGCTGTGGGGCGTGCCCACCTGGGGGTCACAGCATGGACAAGCCTGGGCACCAGCCTTCTAGCAGGTCCCACAGCTCCCAGGGATCTTGCCCCTCCACCCTGCGCCTCCTGCTCTCGGGGTTGTGTTCACGATCCCCCTCTCCCCTGGCCCCACTGCTCACGCCGAGGTGATGGCGCGGTAGCGCTCCTGGCCAGCAGTGTCCCAGATCTGCGCCTTGATGGTCTTGCCGTCCACCTGGATGCTGCGGGTGGCGAATTCCACGCCGATGGTGCTCTTGCTCTCCAGGTTGAACTCGTTGCGGGTGAAGCGGGACAGAAGGTTGCTCTTCCCCACGCCCGAGTCCCCGATGAGCACCACTGGGGGAGGGGTGGGGAGGGGCATGAGTGAGGCTCCCTGGGCCAGAAGTGGGCAGTGCCCCAGAGCCAAGACTCCACATGCCGCCCACGTCCACCCACAGGGCCTGCACAGCGGCCCCCAGGGTGCTGCAGACCCATGGCAATCAGACGGAGGAGAGTCAGTGCTGTCCTGGGCCCCTCGCCCAAGGTACGACACGAAGAGGGTCCTTCAGAACAGGGCTGCCCCAGAGGGGACCCAGGCACTGGGCGGAAGGCAGCCTGGGGAGTCGCAAACCTCAACGGTCCCAAACCCCAAGCTTCCCTGGTGACATGGGAAGTCAGGACATGCCTGAGAAAGCCTCAGGACTGGTGACCTCGGCAGGTCACTTAACCTCTCTGGGCTGCCTTTTCCACAGGAAGACAGTAACAGGAGCACCTCAGGGAGAGGGTCACGGGAATGCCTGGGATCAGAACTCAGCCAACGTTTCGTACCCTAGGACAGGCTGGCGGGGGAGGGGGGGCCAGAGCACCCTGCAGGCAGGCTGGAACAAGAGCCTGCCTGAGCTGTGAGGGCAGAGCAGGGCAGAAATCGCGCGAGTCTCTCTCCACTCTTCCCTTTATCGTGCTTCCTGTCCCCACCTGTGAAGGCACTGCCTCGGGGCCCAGCCGCTCCAGGCTCTGGGGTGGAAAGGCCAGGAGGGGCTGCGCTCAGACCCAGAATATAGTCCTGGGGACTCGTGTCAGTGAGTTCACAGTGTGTGTGCAGTGCAGAAGAAACAGCGTCTCTTTCTAGATGCTCCAGTTGGAAACCACAGGGACGCCCAAGCGTTGGTCTTAGGCTCTGGCACCCCAGGGGCTGCGGACATGGTCGCTCAAGACCCCAGAGAAAAGTTTTTCCTTGATGAGAAATTTTATGTGTGTGTGCCCTGATTCCTGCTGCTTCTTACCGCTTCGCTGCTCCCCGACCTCAGACAGGCGCTCCTATGTTTAGTCTCAGCTTCGACGAACTGGCTGTTTTCCTCTAAGCCGCCAGAGGGCGCCTGTGAGCACCCGGAGTGGGTTCCCCCAGCTTCCACCCGCTCACAGGGTTCCCACCTCCAAAGTCCGGAGCCCACAGGGCCCTGCGAGACCTGCCCCATCCCCTCCCTGCCCTCACCTCCCCTCTTTTTCCCCCTCACTCACTCTGTTCCAGACACGTGGGCCTCCTCATGATACCACCCTTTACCTGGAAGGTTCTTCCCCAGGTGCCCACCTGGTTCCTGCTCTCATTTCCTCTGTGTGGCCCCTCAGGTGGCACTTGATCAAGGAGGCCAACCCCTGCCATTCTCTTAAAACGTCACTCCCCAGTCCCCTTCCCTGCCTTTCCTCCATAGCTTCCACCCCAGCACACTCGCCAGCTTTCATTTAAGGATTTTTTTTGTCACTGCCTCGAGGATAGCCATCTTGGACAATCTGGTTTCCTGTTGTATCCCCAGGACCTGGTGTGGTGCCGGGGTACAGGACACACCTGATTAATACCTATTGGATGAACAAATGCCAAAGGGGCTGGCAGAGCTTCCCAGGCCCACCTCTCCCCCACTGGGAAATGCCCAGGTCACCATCCTTGGGCTATAAGTAAGGAGGGTTAGGCCAGGCAGCTCTCAGGTCTCATACCCTCTCTGGACTGGCCACATCAGAGCCAAGAATAACAAGAACAAGAAGAATGTTCTGTGCTAAGAAAGCTCTTGATGTGCCATCACCTCATAGATATATCACATGACCCATTTTACAGATGAGAAACTGAGGTACAGATAGGGGCAGCCATTTTCATGGGGCCATCCAGTTGAAGAGTGATTCAGCAGGATGTGAACCCAGGCTTCCCAAGAGGCTGAGCTCAGGGGTCTGGGTTTAGCCTTCTCCTCTCCCACCATCTGGGGTATCCGGACCCCCTAGCATAGCTGGCGAACTCCTATTCATCCTTCAAAACCCCTGGGTTCAGGCACCTCCTCTCCTCTCAAACTACCACGTGGCCAAGCCACTGATGACAATGCCAGTGTCCTCTCCTCACACCGTGGGCACCAGACACAAGAATGCCAAGCTGACTTCAGAGAATGGTGGAAGGTCAGTGACCATGGGCCTGAGGGCCAAGGGCTCCTAGCCAGGCCAGGGGGGCCACTGTCCACACCCCCAACCCCTGACCTCCTTCCCAAAGCCAGGAAGGTTTGCACACAGTTCTCATGTCCTCAGGAACAGAACAGGAAATGAGGAGGAAGAAGGTCCCTTTGGGTCCGGCCCTGTATTCCCCCTACCCTCTCTCTGTCTTCCCAGCCCTGTCCATCTGTCCAGCCTGGGGGCCCCATTTGCCACATGGGGTCTGCTCTGTCCCAGCCAACAATCTCTTGAGCCCCCAGGCCAGGCCCCGCCCTAAGGGCCTTGTTATGGAGTTCGCAGGGCCACCCCAGGGACAGATGCTCACATGATCATGTACAGCTGGGGACGCTTAACCCAGAGTGACCAAGTCCCCTGGCCCAAGGTCATGCAGTGAGAACAGTGGAGGCCAGAGCCACACAAGGGCCACCAGCCACAGCCCAGACAAATGGCGGGAAGGCAAGGCTGCCCCCTAGGTCCCTGGCAAGCAGTGCCCAGTGCAGAACTGGCTGGTGGGGCAGTGGCCAGGCCAGTCCTGTGTGCAGGCTGTGGAATGAGGATGGCATTGTCCAAAATACAAGTCATCTGTTGTCTCAGGGGAAGAAAGAACCCTTGAGGACATGGCCCCCAGCATTTCCCCAGAAGTTGGTGGCATCACTGGCCGGGACATGGGCCCCTGGGGCACACCACTTGGCTGGCCAAGCAGGCAAGCACCGCTGGCAAAAACAAAGAGCTGGCACCTCTTGGAAACCCTTGGTCCCCTGCCCTGGCCCAGGACAGTGCAGCACATCTAGAGTCCAGCTTCTGACACTCAGGCCATTGAATGGCCATCAGGGGCGCTGCCCCCACCCCCCGCCCGCTCCAGGCCGATCAGGGGTCACAGATGGACCTCACTGTGGACCTCACCGGCTGGTCCATCGAGGAGAGGTCGGGGCACCCGTGGGGGACTGACGGGCAGGCTGGGGAAATAGCCCTTGGCTGAAAAGGATAAAATGTTAGCAGGATAAAAGTGAGGATCTATAATTAGATACAAATAAACAAACTCACTTCTGGGGGTGGGAGGGATGAGCCTAGAGGAAAAGGAGAAGCACGTGGGAAAATCCCCAGGGGGATCTGCTGGCCTTGACCAGGAGGTCAGGGGAGCCAACCTGTGATGTGGCTGCCAGAAAACCACATTGGTGCTGGGAGGGCTGGGCAGAGGTCAGCCAGTGTCCCAAGTGAGCGGTGTGGCCCCTCCATGCCCAGGGCAGGGCCAGGGAAAGGTGACTGAAGCCTGGGGGAGGCTGGGCACAGGATGGGGGATAGGATCACAAACCCCTCCACTTGGGAAGGGCTCCCCCTACCAGGTGGCAGGGCCGGGGAGCTGTGTGGTGAGAAAGTGGATCCTTGTTAACCCCTCCGGCACAGCTGTGTCCTGGACGGCTCTCTACTGCCCAGGCCCGACCCTCTGCAGGAGGGCCTGTGGGGCACAGTGTGTTCACGTTTCTGTCCACTCGCCATATTTATGGCCAGTGATGCGATGGTGACAGCTCGCCTGCCTGCTGTTTTCCTTCCTTATTTCCCAGAGTCAGAATTTTCTTTTCCTATTTAACTGAGTGGATTTAAAGGCAAATATTAAAAGTTAATTGGTGGGGGGGGAGGGCTCTTCCCGGGTGTCTCAGTGGTAAAGAATCGCCTGCCAGTGCAGGAGACAGAGGTTCGATCCCTGGTCCAGGATGATCCCTCATGAAATAGGGCAGCCAAGCCTGTGTGCCACAATGATTGAGCCTGGGAGCCGAAACTACTGAAGCATGCATACCCTAGAGTCTGTGCTCTGCAACGAGAGAAGCCATAGCAATGAGAAGCCCACACCACTGCATAGAAAGTAGCCCCTGCTTGCTGCAACAAGAGAAAAGCCCGCACAGCAACAAAGACCTAGCACAGCCAAAAATAAAGAATAGTAAAAAAATAATAGAGGGGTCCTCTGACAACGCATTAAGTGTGAAGGTGAGGTTGCAGATGACCAGGCTGGGAACCACTGACCTTGTGGGTTAGACTGTCACTTCTGACCCAGCTCAAGGTCAGCAGGGCACCTGCTGGAGCACAGGGGGAGAGGGCAGTGGGGCGGGCGGGCACTGCCCCCTGGGGCCAGTTGTCCCTGAAGTATCTCCAGAAAGAGGACTCAGGAGATGGTTCCTGGGAAGCGCACAGCCCAGTTCCAGTGCCCCTGACCCAGTAACTGTACTTCTGGGAACAGACTTCAAGGAAATAAACCAAAGGACAAAAGATGACTCGTGCAAACACCTGGAGCTAGATTATTTACAACAGCAAATGGTTGTGTTCCTAGTGGGCCTGGAGTTAGCTCTCAAGGGTGGCCAATGTCAGCCGGGGAGACCAGCTCAGCAGCACAGGACCTGGTCAAAGCCTAGGTTGGCACAGAAGGCCCTGGAAAGTCAGTGACCCCTAAACCAGCCCTGCAAATAACAAGTGAGGAAGGACCACAGAAACACTGGGAGAGGGAATTTCCCTGGTGGTCCAGTGGCTAAGACTCCATGCTCCCAATGCAAGGGGGCCAAGGTTCAATCCTTGGTCAGGGAACTAGATCCCACATGCCGCAACTAAGTCCCGATGCAGCCAAATAAATAAATATTTAAAAAAGAAGAGACTCTGGGGGGAATGCTGCCTGCCCCAGCAGTAACACATGCAGGTGGGGGCCAGTTAGCACCTGGGGAGCAGCCCCCTGGGGTAGGCTGGGTAGACATAGGCACCATCTGCTGCAGGACTGGCATCTAGGCCACTCGTCACCCACCCTCAAAGCCCTGACAGAGTGTCCATTCTCCACCTCTAAAGTGAGACCCCCCCGCCAGGGCTCAGTCAGCACCTGAGCCAGATGCCTGCTGACCACAGAGCCTCACCTGCTGGCAACCTATGAGCTTGCTGGCAACCTATGAGCTTGCTGGCAAACTTTGAGCTTGCAAGCGGCTCCTGGAGCCCACAATGCTGTGTGACAGAGTGGCACAGGCACTCCCTCTGCCCAGAAACCATTCACCATGTGGAGATCCCACTTTCTATATCCCCAAGGTCCCCAGAACCCCAGACTCAACCGGGGATGATACCACAGACACATAGTGATGGACACACTACATACACTCCCAGCCATGGTCAAGCTCCTCCAATGAGGCAAAGATGGCAAAGGCTGGCATGGGAAGTCGCATGGCAAGGGTGTCCCGAGTGGGCCTGGAGTTAGCTCTCAAGGATGGCCAGTGTCAGCCGGGGAGCACAGCTCAGCAGCACAGGACCTGGCCAAAGCCTAGGTTGGCACAGAAGGCTCTGGAAAGTCAGTGACCCCTAAGCCAGCTCAGCAATGGCTGCCTGACCTGCCCACGTCTTACTTGAGGCTCTTAGAGCCCTCTGTTTCCAATGGCCAAGGAAGATCCTTCGGTAGGTTGGAGGAGGAGGTCTGACAACCCCACTCAGATCTGACAACCCCAGATATACTGCTTAAATGGTCTAGTTTCAAATCCTGCTTCAGCACGTAAATTGTGCCTGTTTCCAGGTTCGTAAAGAAAAAGGCTGGATAATACAATACCAACTTCACAGGGTTGTGGCGAGGGCTTCAATGAATTCACGTGTGTAAAGTGCTTAGAAAAGTGCAGGTACTTGGATAGCGCTCTTAAGAGTTCTAAGAGTTAACCATCAGGTCTGGGTTTAGCACACAGACACCCCCACTCCAGGTGCCCCTCAACGCATTTCCGACTCCACTTCCCAATCCAGGGTCCACTGGCCCCCCAACACACATCTTGACCTCCATCGTTCACCCCTACCTTCCCAGACACCCTACAGAGGCACTGCCACCAATCAAAACAGGCCCCTCCCACTAGGTGAGAGCACCGCCCCCATTCGCCCAGCCCATTCCTTGGACACGCCCACCACGTCCTAGCACCGCCTCTAACGGCCCCGCCCCCACACGAAAGGAGCTTTCCACCCAGCCCTGCCCGCCAAATGCTGTGGCGGCCCCGCCCCTCTGAAGGCCCCGCCCCTAACGGCCTCTCCCACTGCCCGGGGCCCCACCCCCTCTGGGCCCTGGCCCCGCCTCGGCGCGTCCCGGGCCCCCAAGCCTCTCTGGGCAGTCGGCCTCGCATCGCTGCGCACCCTGGCCCGAACTTGACCAAGACCGGCCTGTACTGGCCTTCCCGGCTGCCTAGCCTGCCGGGCCCCAAGCTTCGGGCTCCGGTTTAGGCCCAGAGGCCTGAAGCGCAGCCTCGGCTCCTGCCTGCCGCCGCCCGCTTGCCCGTCTGTGCCCCACCGACCGCACCTTTGAATAGGTAGTCGTACTCGTCGTCCCGGGTCCCCATTGTCCTGGCGCTTCCGGCGGGATCGGCGACTCCGCAGCCCCACCACAAACACCCGACGGGGGCGGAGCCGGCGCCGCGCAGAGCGGCGGCCGAATGGCCAATCAGCGGTGGGTGGTATAGAGACCGGCACCCAGGAGAGCCAATAAGAGACGGAAGCAGAGCCTCCGGGGTGGGCGCCTCCGGAGATACACCTTCTTCGCCCTCGGTCTCCTGGAGAAAGGCGGAAGGAATGCGGACCTTTCCAAAATGACAGCCTCACCAGCCTATCAGAAGCGAGCTCTGGAAGGCGGGGCGGAAGACTGGAAGAATGGAACGGATTGACGAGACGAGTAGCCAATGAGAGGTTTGATTCTGATAGTACCGGGCCACCAGAGGACCTGTCCGGGAAGGGAAATGGGGCTACGTCCAGGTAGTGTTACGCTAGTTAACGTTCCGATGACGTCATAGGTCAATGCGCGCTGCTCTGCGGTACGCCCACTCCCACCCTAGATGCCCCAGTAAATGACAGCTCCTGGCGGGCATCTGCGTGTGGACCTTTTCTGTTTAGAGGTCACCTTTCTGGGTTGCAGTTTCCATCCCTACATTGGCCTCAGTTTCCTCACTCTGTTTAACAGGGAAGAAACCTTAGGGAATCTTGGAGTATAACTAGATCATTGACCTAAACAGATACTTAATCTACCACCTACCGTCAGTCACTGGGTCTTTGTTTAACAAATATTTATAAATCCTTACTGGATGTCAGAATCCCTCTGCCAAGCAGGAGACGCAGGTTTGAATCTGGAGAAGGAAATGGCAACCCACTCTAGTATTCTTGCCTGAAGAATCCCATGAACAGAGAAACCTGGTAGGCTACAGTTCATGGGGTCTGAGCGACTAAACAACAACATCTGGGATGTCAGACATTTTCCCCCTGTCTGTCTCTTTATCCTGTTTTATTCCACATCATCTCCCCCATAAGCACGATTTATTTATCTTCCCTTGACATTAAAGTATGTATTTCCATCTCCTGTTAGTAAACAAAATTCAACTGAGTAAATGTGAAGATCTTATTGCTCTTATTAAAAGATTCATGAATCAAGCAGCATCTCATCTGTCAAGCAGAGATAATTCCCAGTTGTTGTTGTTCAGTAACTCAGTTGTGTCCGACTTTTTGTGACCCCATGGGCTGCAGCACCCCAGGCTTCCCTGTCCTTCACCATCTCCCAGACTTTGCTCAAAATCATGTCCATTGAGTCAGTGATGCCATCCAACCATTGCATCCTCTGTTTCCCTCTTCTTTTGCCTTCAATCTTTCCCCACATCAGTGTCTTTTTCAATGAGCTGACTCTTCGAATCAGGTGGCCAAGGTATTGGAGATTCAGCTTCAGCATCAGTTCTTCCAATGAATGAGGGTTGATTTCCTTTAGGATTGTATAAAATGGAAGACTTTTATAGAAAAGAGGGTGGAACAAAGAAGTCATGCACAACAGAAAAATGAAAGCCTTCAGGTAAGGCCAGCTTTTGATTGGCTGAGTTGTGTTTCCATCGGCTGGGCAGAAAGAAAGTCTTTTCTCCTACTTTAGTAAAGTAGTAGCAGTTTCTGTTTGGGAGCTTCTGGTTCGTGTCTGTAACTGGTGTCTTCCTGTTTGGGGTAATTGAAGAGTGACAGGTCATAAGAGCTCCCTCTGCAAGCCTTTTTAACTCCATTTTTTTTTTTTTTTAAATTTGTCTGCACTGGGTCTCAGTTGCCACATGCAGGATCTTTTAGTTGAGTCATGGAGGCTCTTAGTTGCATCATGTGGAATCTAGTTTCCTGACCAGGGATAGAACCTGGGCCTCCTGCATTGGGAGTGTGGGATCTTAACCACTGGACCACCAGGGAAGTCCCTCTGATGCCAATTTTAGTTGAGGTTTCCTGTTTTTAATTTTCACAGATCTATGAACATATTTAGTTTCTGCCTCCCTCCAACAGAACATCAACCCTGTGAGGGCAGAGACTGTGTCTGTGGCCATCACTGCTTTGTCACAGCTCGTGCACAATAAATGGTTGATTAATGATAGTGTAAGTATAGGAGCTTCCCAGGTGGCACAGTGGTAAAGAATTTGCCTACAATGCAGGAGACGCAGGAGACTCAGGTTTGATCCCTGGGTCAGGAAGATCCCTGGAGGAGGAAATGGCAACCCAATCCAGTATTCTTGCCTGGAAAATTTTATAGACAGAGGAGCCTGGTGGGCAGGCTACAGTCCATGGGGTTGCAACGAGTCAGACATACTGAGCATGCAGGCACCAGTGTAAACGTAGAGCTCATGTGCTAATTATAGTAATCATTATAATTGCCTCCTGGACCTCATCCTTGGGGTGTTCACCAGGCATCCCAAACACAAATTTGACCTCTTTTTCTCATACTCTCTCCTCCTCCTGTGACTCCATCCCCCCACCCCCTCATCAAAGCCAGAGGTTGTGGACTCCTTTCTTTTTCTCATCCTTTTGTTCCCCTGCCCCTCTCTCCAATCCCTTCCCTCAATTGCCTTACTCTGTCCCTCCTCCCTCCTAAATGTCTGACGACTTGTCACCCTCTCCTCTGCTGCTGCCCCATCAGGGCCCCATCCGTTCCCTGTCATCACTCCCTGGACCTGTGTAGTTTCCTGCTCCCCAAATTCCCTGCTCTGTGCTTACCTCACTCAGTCTGTTCTTTGCATAGGAGTCAGACAGAGTCTTTCTTTCTTTCTTTCTTTTCAAATTGAATTATGGTTGATTTACAATGGGATTCCCTGGTGGCTCAGATGGTAAAGAATCCACCTGCAATGCCAGAGACCCAGGTTTGATCCCTGGGTCGAGAAGATCCCCTGGAGAAGGAAATGGCAATCCACTCCAGTATTCTTGCCTGGGAAATCCCCGTGGACGGAGGAGACTGATGGGCTACAGTCCATGGTGTTGCAGAGTCAGGCACGATTGAACTGACTAACACTTTCACTTTCATTTGATTTACAGTGTTCTGTTACTTTCAGATATATAGCAAAGTGATTCACATAAATATATATGAATATATATTCATATAAATATATATATCTCAGATTATTTTCCATTATAGGCTATTGCAAAATATTGAATATAGTTCCCTGTAGTGTACAATAGGCCCTTGTTGGTTACCTATTTTATGTTTAGTAGTGTGTATATTGGAGCAGGAAATGGCAACCCACTCCAGTGCTCTTGCCTGGAGAATCCCATGGACGGAGGAGCCTGGTAGTCTACAGTCCATGGGGTCCAGAAGAGTCGGACACAACTGAGCAACTTCACTTTCACTTTTTACTTTCATGCATTGAAGAAGGAAATGGCAACCCACTCCTCTGTTCTTGCCTGGCGAATCCCAGGGACGGAGGAGCCTGGTGGGCTGCTGTCTATGGGGTCTCACAGAGTCGGACACGACTGAAGCGACTTAGCAGCAGCTGCAGCAGCAGCAGTGTGTATATGGGGCTTCCCAGGTGGCACTAATGGTAAAGAACCCGCATGCCCACGCAGGAGATGCAAGAGACATAGGCTTGATCCCCAGGTTTGGTTCGTGGGTCAGAAAGATACCCTGGAGGACGAAATGGCAACCCACTCCAGTCTCTTGTGTGGTGAATGAATCCCATGGACAGAAGAGCTTAGTGGGCTACAGTCCATGGGGTCACAGAGAGTCAGACACGAACTGAAGCAGCTTAACACATGCACACACATACTGAGAAAGTTGTACCTTTTTTTTTCAGTTCTTTAAGTTAATTCTTTATTGAAGTATAGTTGATTTACAGTGTTGTGTTAATTTCGGGTGTATAGTAGAGTGATTCATATATATATATATATATAATATATATTATATAGACATTTTTCAGAAATTTGAAAATATCTATTTTTATTTATTTGGTTGTGCCAGGTCTTGCCAGGTCTTAGTTGCGGCAGAAGTGATCTTCAGTCTCCTTTGCGGCATCTTTAGTTGTGGCGTGTGCAATCTAGTTCCCTGACCAGGGGTTGAACCTGAGCCCAGAACACTGAGAGCTCAGAGTCTGTTTATTTAATTTTGGCCGATCCATGAAGCTTGCAGGATCTTAGTTCCCTGAAACCAGAAATTTAATCCGCGCCCTTGGGAGTGAAAGCAGAGTCCAAACTGCTGGACTGTCAGGGAAGTCCCTCTAACTGGAATCGGCATTGTTTTTTCACTGACTTTAGTTTTCCTAACCTATTTGTGTGTTTCCTAACCTATTTATGCAAGTGATATGGGTTTCCACATGCTGTAGAGATATGCCTCTACTTTTTTACAAAACTGGGTCAGTAATTCCCTGTATGCCTGGGAGTGTGTCGTCTGGCTTAATTATTAACAACACACCCCCCTTTCACTCTCAACAGTGTCTCTTGGACCATCAATTATAACAGTATCTTCGTTTAGACCCTTATCTGTAATGGGAATACACGCATGGTGCTGAGACAAATCTTTTTAAAATGTATTTATTTATTTTAAAAATTAATTTTATTCATTTGGCCAAGCCAGGTCTTAGTTGCGGCAATGGGGGATCTCTGATCTTTTGCTGTGGCATATAGGGTCTTTTGTTGTGGCATGTGATGTCTGGCTGTCTGACCAGGGTGGAACCTATGTCCCCTGCATTGGGAGGGTGGAGTCTTAGCCACCGGACCGCCAGGGAAGTCCCCAGACGGGAATCTTTCTATTGACTAGAGTGTCCCAAGCACTTGGGACAGGGCTTGGCCTTTAGTAGGTGCTTAAGAAATATTAGTTGAATTTATATGAGTGGGTGTGCGCACACACGCTGTCAATTTAGTTATGTCTGCCTCTTTTGTGACTGCATGGACTGTAGCCCGCCAGGCATCTCTCTCCCTGGGGATTCTCCAGGCAAGAATACTGGAGTGGGTTGCCATGCTCTCTTCCAGGGGATCTTCCCGACCCAGGGATCGAAGAACCTGTGTCTCTTACGTCTCCTGCACTGGCAGGCATGTTCTTTACCCCTAGTGCCACCTGTGAAGCCTATATATATATATACACACACACATATACTACATACACACACATATGTATTTTCTTTTTATTCACCCCTCCTCACCCCCCTATATGTATATATTTTAAAGCTAATTTAAAGGAAAACTTTTGCAAACATAGCCAAAAGTGGGAAGAGTTTACGCAAAACTCTGCGTTAATGTAACAGAATAGAGGGAATTCCCTGGCAGTTCAGTGGTTAGAACTCTGAGCTCTCACTGCCGAGGTTGTGGGGTTCAATCCCTGGTAGGAGAACTAAGATCCTGCAAGTTGCAAGGCAAGGCAGAAAAAAAAAAAAGTAACACAGTAGAGCTGGGTTGTGCAAGATGGTGGCCATTGGCCACTGTGGCTGCTGAACCCTTAGATATGGTCGGTCCAAATGGAAATGTGCCATAAATGTGAAATCTATACTGGATTCAGAAGACTCAGTACAAGAAGCCATGTCAAGTATCTCAGTAACTTTTATATTGACCACATGTTTAAACTGCAATATTTTGGATATATTGGGTTCAATCAAGTACATTCCTAAATAATTTTTACTTTCTTTCTTATATATGTATATATATATTTTTTGCCCATGCTCTTTATTTCCAGACCATGGATCAAACCTGTACCCCCTGTGGTGGAAGCTCAGAGTCTTAACCCCTGGACCACCAGGGGAGTCCCTACTTTGTTTCTTTTTAAACTTTAGCTGTTTTTATTTCCTTTTTCTTTGTTTTGCTTTTTTAAAAATGTGACCACTAAAAAAAATAATAATAATAACATTAAATATGCAGCTCACATCCCTATTTCTCTCATGTGGCCAGACATTAAAAGGTTATCAAGATTCATGTGCATAAGTATGGTCAGGAGGAGCATCTAACTTTCTCTATTACCTGCTTCCAGAAGGACCAAATGAGGGTTTTGCCTTGTACCTCTGCAAATGAACATGAGATGTCCATCATGAAACCATAAGTGAAGGAAGTTGAAAGCAGATGTTGGAGATGGTGGGGTAACTAGCATTGTCCTCAAGAGCCCTGGAGTGTTCACCCTCCACCCTGAGAGCCTGTTTATGTGGGCTCTGAAAACTGTCCACTTTGACAAACAAACCAAAGGACATAAAAGAAAAAAATGTTTTGAAGTTGCTTTTATTCCGAGAAGTCTGTGGGCTCCACCCAGACGCCGTTGGCGCCAGCTGACTCACAGCACCCAGGCACCACAATATGGTGAGGGCGCCCAGGCCTACGGGAAGCCCTGGTCCTCCAACCAGTCAATGTGACTGAATCCGCCCGCCATCGAGGGCTGGCCTGGCTGCCCCACCCCCGAGTGGTCCCCTCTGCATCCCCTGCTCCTTGGGCGGGTGAAGAGCGGGCTTCAATGCCCCTCCGTCCCAGGCTTTCGGGGTCTGTGCCCGGCAGCCCTACAGCCCTGTTCTCCTCACAGGGCATTTCCTGCAGCCTCCCCTACTCATCAAGGGGATCTCTTCAGTCATGGGCATCTTCTCTGTCCTCTAGGCTCCAGACAGCCCGTGCCCAGAGCCCCTGCCCAGGCAGGGAGTGGCCACACATGGACCAGAGTCACTGTCCTCCGGGGACCTGAGACCAGGCCCCAGAGAGGAGGCTAGGAGGCCGCTTGGGCCGCTGTGGGCTGTACCAGGATGGTGGTGGCCTGCAGTGGGTAGTAGCGGCCCCGCCAGGTCCTCCAGAAGATACCCTTCTTACGCTGCTGCCGCTGCCTCGGGATGGACTGGAAATACTGGCCGTTCAGGTTGGAGTGACTGCAGGTGCCGAACCACCAGCCACCTGCCGGGGTGAGAGAAAAGGGGATACGGTCAAGCCCATGGGTCTCCAGTGGGGCCAAGGCGGGGAGGGGGCTGGGTGTTGGCCATCACCCGCTTTAGACAAGAGAACTTTGGCAGTGGTTGTCAGACTGTGTTCTGAGGAACCCCAGCTTGTGACAAAGCCACCTTGGGGGCTCAGGGCACCTCCCCACCCCATTCTGGTAAATGCAGCTTTTACATCCCTGACCCTGGCGAGTTACTTCTCCACACTTGCCACATGGTGAACATTTATTAAAGCCTTTCTATGACTGTCCTGTGTTTCACTAGTTTGTATCACATTGAACCATGTGAAATGAATCACTCTTTCCATCCTTCTTCCCAAGAAGGAAATGGCAACCCACTCCAGTGTTCCTGCCTGGGAAACACCATGGACAGAGGAGACTGGCGGGCTACAGTCCTCGGGCTCACAAAGAGCCGGACACGACTCGGTGACTGAACAACAGACAACCATCCTTCTTCGACACCACAAGGCAGTTTCATCTGTTTCACTTCATGGGGCATGGGCTCTGCTTTCAATTTGTCTTGGCTAGCCTGTGGCAGTCACCTCACTGTATTATCCTGTAGCAGTCCTGTGGTGTGGCAGGATGGTTATACCCCTTCTTTTCTTCTGGCCTCACCATGAAGGATCCTGGTTCCTTGACCAAGGATTGAACCCATGTCCCCTACAGTGGAAGCTCAGATTCCCCAACCACTGGACCACCAGGGAAGTCTCTATACCCATTTTAAAGATGGGGAAAATGTAGGTGGGGGGCATTGTCAGTTGCCTCAGAGTCCACAGCAAGTAAGGAGAAGGGGGGCATGGAAATAAGGACTTCCCTGGTGGTCCAGTGGTTAAGATTCTACGCTCCCAATGCAGGGGGCACGGGTTTGATTTCTGGTCAGGGAACTGGATCCTACATGCCTCAACTAAGACCCGGCGCAGCCAAAAAAACAGTGGCGTGGAAATAGATAGGGTTGAAGGCGGGGCAGGGATGCAGAAAAGCTGTGTGGCGAAGGGCAAGATGGGGAGGGACAGGGCTTGCTTACCAGAGAGGCTCCTGGCGCAGTTCTTGTCTCTGCGGAGGTCGTGGTCCTGGTCCCAAGTGGAGAAGGGCAGGGAGAGGCCACTGGGCGAGAAGGTGGTGGCGCCCAGTTTGCTGGCCACCGGTGGCGTGAGCTTCAGGCTGTAGGCGGTGTCTTCACCGCCAAGGTGGACGGGGAACTGCAAGGACTCAGCGTTGCCCTCCCAGTCCTGCAGCTGCACAGCCAAGCGGCTGCCACGGTCCCCGAGGATGCGATGTACCTTCTCCAGGCCCAGCCAGAACTCACCTGCCAAGGGAGAGGCCAATCCATGAAGAGGACCCCCAGATCTGTAGCCCCCTCCTCCCCACTGTGCCTCCGGCCTGCAGGAAACACCTACCGTGGGGGTCTCCAAAGCCATCTTTGTAGGCTTCCCAGGGCTGGTTAAAGTCCACGGAACCATCCTGACGCCTCTGAATTACTGTCCAGCCTCCGTCTGCCCAGAAAAGTGCGAGGTCATCAGGAGGATTCTTCTTACGAGGGATCCTGCCTCCCCTATTTGGCTCCCTAAACCCCAAAGCACCTCTAAACCCAGGGAGAGTGGTTCCTCTCACCCACCCCAGGAGGATGGGAGGAAGACCGGCAAAGAAAGAAAGTGAGCTGGCCAGTAAGCTAGGGGTTCTGCCTAAATCTTTGTCCCAGGACCCAGCAGAGAAGGAGGAAGTGGGGAAGAAGAAGTGGCTGCACTTGATGGAAAGACAACCAGGCCCGTGATATTCGGGGTACCTGGGGGCCAGCCCAGCCCTACCTGAGGTCATCTTGCAGTTAACCAAGAAAGGCGGGGATCCCTGGGGCTGGATCTGGAACAATCCACTTTCCCTCTCTCCATCTTCAAACAGCTCCTGGCAGTCCCTGGGCAGTCCTGAAGGACAGACAAAGATAGGGGGGATTGAAAGGGGCGTCTCAGGAAACAGGCATGTCTGGGGGCTAGGCAACGGGTGACAGGGGCAGGAGGGGCACTCCTCAGCTCATCGTGCCCCCTTCCACTTGCCTAAAGTTGTCCATGACTCCCCAGGACAAGCCAGACCCACTCCCCCCTCCTCCCACCCTGAACACCCATCCTCTGGCCACACAGCCTTCCTGGTAGCACACACACTCTGACCACAGGGCCTTTGAACATGCTAGTGTTCTGCCTGGGGCCTCTTCCCTCAGGCAGTTCTCTGCCTGATATTAAAGGTCCCAGTTTCTGGAAGGGATGACATCTCTGACACCCATCCCTCCCCTCTTCCCCCACATCCCGTTGCAATAAAAAGGGGAAAAAGCGAAATGAGTTTTTTTTTCTTTCCCTTTCCTGAGAACAAAGAAGATAAAGAGAACACTCATCAGGCCTGAACATTCCTAGTTGTTTCCTTTTTCTTACTTTAACTGCTCCTAACTCTGCATGTCTGTAACGAAGCTTGCTCTTCTGCCTTTCTGGGGTTTACCCTTACAACACCCTTCCCCTTGTAGTTACACATTGGAAAGAAGACCACAGAGCCACAGAACGGCCAGACTCAATTACTGAGTTACTGACACCAGTCTATGACTGTCTTAGAAACAATGCAAGAGGAAGAAATCAAGATCCTATCAACTTTGTTCCTCGTCACCCACTCCTGACTATGAGCCTTTGCCTTATATAAGGCCCGAGACTCCTCATGGGAGTGGAGTGGGGCACAGTTCTTGAGGCATGAGCCTACTGTGTTTCCCTCTTCTTTGGCTGAGAATTAAAGCCACCTTTCTATTTCCTCCAAACTCTGTCTCCGTATTTTTTTCTTCGGCTTTAGTGGGCAGAGAGGGCCAAGATTTTGGCCATCAACAGCCGGAGACCAGGCTAAGGGCCCCTGAGGACTTCCTATTCCCCAACACTGGGGCCATCTGTCAGCTCTCCCCAACTTCCCATACTGTATGAGGTCCCTGAAGTCAGGGACGAGGAATGGCTCTCTGCCCACCATCTGGCACCGGCTGATGCCAGCCCACAGCAGATGTTTAATAAAGATGCCATGAGGAATGATGGAAGGAGCTGGACCAGAGTGGGGGTGGGATCAGAACAGAGAGAAACAGGAAGGGGCTCTGCTTCGTCCAGCCGCGGGTGAGCATCAGGCCTGGATAGGGTTTGGGGGGCACCACAGAGGCCCCACCCTGGGTCCCGGGCATCTGAGAGGGAGAAGGAAGGATTGAAGAATGAAGGAGGGAGGGACTGAGGGATGGCTTGGGCATGTCTGCAGACTGGGGAAGTCCCTGGCCCCCACCCCAGCAGGAAAAGTAGAGGAAAGGTTGAAGGGGGAAGGGAAGGCTCAGGTTGTGGGGTGAACATGTTGGGACTGTGGGGGTTGGGGCCGGCCCAGAGTGACTGGTGACATTTTCCGGCCCCTCAGGCAGCTCCCCTTTTGCCTACTTTCCTCTCTTCCAATCACAACAGGCAGCCGGCCAAACCACCAATGTGGCTTCCATTAGCACCAGCTGTTTGTCTCCCCAGCTCTGACCTTTCTCCGGCTTGGCAGGGCTGAGCCTGGAGTCCCCCAACCTACACATGACCCCCCCCTCCCCCATCACATTCCTGAGGTGGGACCTTTGCCTGCTGGCCCCTCCCAGAAGCCCCTCATGGCAGGGCTACCATTTGGGAGGCGTAGTGGACCCTTCCCCTTCCCAGTGGGGGGGGGGGTGCTGGGACCGAGGTGGGAGAGTCCTTAAGACCAGAGGGCTGGAAGCCAGCAACCAGCCTGAGGGCGGGTGTGAAGCGGGGGATTCAAACTTTCACCCAGTTGGCTGCAGACTGCCACAGATGCCAGTGCGGGGGATGGGATAGGAGGACCACGCCGAAGCCAGCCAGGTCTGGAGCTGTGAACTTAGGGTGGGACAGAGACACTGGGGAGCTGGGAGCCAGGGTTAGACACCTACAGATATGCTGGTTTAGAGATCTGGGGTGCTCTGGGGCACACACAATAAAGGATCTAGAACTTGTAGGAGTCGGGGCAGGGTGAGAAGGGGCGATCAGCGACTTCTAGGTCAATAGAGGGGTGAGAGCCAGGCAAAGTACGTGGATCAAGGGCCCCAGACTTGTTAAGAGATGCAAGAGTGAGTGGTGTGACTGGCTGGGGAGATGGGGATTCTCTGCCTTAGTCTCCCTTCCCAGATCCACACTCTAAAATGAGGGGCCAGACTTTCCTGGCTGTCCCGTGGTGAAGATTCTGCTTCCAATGCATGGGGTGTGAGTTCAATCCCTGGTCAGGGAACTAGGATCCCACATGCCAAGTGACTCAGAAAAAAAAAAACCCAACAATAAACACCTGGTGGCCCCAAACATCAGGACATCCCCTCCCAGGCAGCCGATCTCTTTTAACCCAAGGGGGGGTCCAGTCTCCCAAACTGGCACCGTTTTGTCCACCATCGTGCCCTCCTGGAAGGGTCCAACCCCCAGGAAGGTGTTCCTGAGCCATACCACCCCTTTCCCCACACCCTTGCAGCTCAACCCCCTCTTGGACCCGAATTCCCAACCCCTGCTCCAGTTAGTGGTTCTTGAGGCTTTGGGAAAATCCCACTGACTTTCTGGAAAGAAGGGTTGGGGTGGGGAGCCCAGAGAGGAAAGGGAAGGGCTGAAGAGGGGGATGTCCTGGTCACCCCTTCACCAGAGACCTGTCCTCCCACGAGGACGCACAGCCAGGGCCTCACTTTCTCAGTAAGGTGGACCCGACAAGGAGAGGGGAAAGAATGGTAAGTCGGGGGGTAGGGTTGGGGGGAGTGTGCTAGAGACCAGCAAAGAGTTGGACACTCACTGTGCAGATGGCTGATATTGTGAGCTGGGCCAGCAAGCTGGGCCATCTTGGGCAGCCTCTTCCTCCTGGTGGGCTTGGCCATCTCGTGGCCCAGGTGCCTGGGGGCCAGGTGATCCATCTGGGACAGGACCGGGAGGAGAATGTCAAGTCTGGCTGGCTCAGGCTGCTCAACCTGCCTGGTTCCACAGCCAGACCCACAGGGTCCACCTTGAACCTCCCTCCCCATCTGGGGCAAGCACTGGCACCTGGCTCTGTAGATTCTGGATTCGCAGGTGCTGCTTCTCCAATTGCCTCTGCTGCTGGGCCACCTTCTGAAAGAGTTGCTGGATCCTGCTGTTCTGAGCCTCCAGCTGAGTCTGGGGAGAGTGTAAAAGTTTGGTGAGGATCCGGTCTTCTGCCACCACCTTCTCCATTCATCTGCTGGTCCTGTCTCCAACTCTCCATCCTTTGAGGCCGAGGCAGAAGAGCCCAGGCTTCCCTGATGGCTCAGTGGTAAAGAATTCGCCTGTCCGTGCAGGAGATGCAGGAGAAGCGGGTTCAGTCCCTGGAGATCGGGAAGATATCTTGGAGGAGGAAATGGCAACCCACTCCAGTGTTCTTGCTTGGAGAATCCTATGGACAGAGGAGCCTGGCGGGCTACAGTCCTGTGCTGTGCATAGTCGCTCACTCGTGTCCGACTCTTCGCGACCCCATGGACCTGCCAGTCTTCTCTGACCACGGGGATTCTCCAGGCAAGAATAATGGAGTGGGTTGTCATGCCCTCCTCCAAGGTATCTTCCCAATCCAGGGATCGAACTCAGGGTCTCCTGCATTGAGGCGGATTCTTTACCGTCTGAACCACCAAGGAAGCTCGTTACAGTCCACGGGGTCGCAAAAGAGCCGGATATCACGGAACGACTGAGCACGCAGGCAAAAGGGAGAGACCAGGGTATTCGGGATGCGCCCTTTCCTGTTCACTCCCTTCCAGGGCAGTAGAGTATGTACCTGCAAGCTGCGGAGGGTTTCCGGGGAGGCGTCGCCGCCGCCGGGAGTGACCAGATTGGTCTGAGCGCTCGGAGGCGCGGCGGACCCCTCAGGGTCCTTGCAGGCGGCCCCGCACGCGCCCAGACGCCGTTCCAGCTCGCCCAGCTGCCCACGGGTGCGCTCCACGTGTTCGCGCAGCCCGTGGCCGAGCTGCAGGAGCCCGTGCGCCAGCACGTTCACCTCGTCCCAGGAGGCAAAGCGCGGCGTCTCGGGAGGCTCCGGGCGACCCTGCGCGCTCAGCAGCCCGGCGGTGGCGGCGCACAGCATCAGGGCTGCTCCGGCTGTCGGCGCACAGCGCATCCTTCCTGGTGGTCCAGGCTTCGGAACGCGGAGATTCGGGGAGGCAGGAGTGAGGGGGCGCCAGAGAGACTCTGGGGTCGAGATGCGAGGGCTGGAGACCCAAGGGCCCTGGCGGAGGGCTAGCTTCGGTGCAGAAGCCAGACGAAAGACTCGAATCACAGCCACTGGCCCTCGGCTTGGTGTCTCCGTGCGCGACGCCGTCTGTTATAAGCGCTGCGCGAGGAAGGCGGAGCCTGGAAGGCGGGGCGCGTGAAGTTCCGGGGGTGGGGCGTGGGGGCTGGGGTTGGGGTTCAGTACGCTGGAAGCAGGGTAGTTATGCGGGGTCTGGGGCGCTGTGGGAGGTGCAAAAGTCAGGCTTCTCTCACCAGGCCCTGATGCGCGTTTTCAGTCGTGCCTTCTCTGCTGACCATGGGAGACGTGACTTCCTCTCCCCGCGGTCCCCTTCCAGGCACCGAAATTCCGGGGCCCCTCAACTCCACCCCAGCCACGTTCAGTGGGGAAACGGCGCCGGCAGGAACGGCATGCCCGTCAGCATTCCTGACGCCCACTCTCCCAAGTCAAGAGCTAGAGAAGAGGGTTCTGGTATGTTGAGACCAGCAGGACCAGGCAGGAAGCCTGGAGGCACGCGAACATCCCCTCCTCCGGGAGAGCATACCAAGACCAGGCTGGACCCCCTGAGGAGGCACCTCTCGGGCTCCCGCTCTCCTTCCTGCTCAAGACTTCGTCATTGCAGATGTGTTTGTGGGATTCTTTCCTTTTTCTTTTTTGTATTTGGTTGTGCTGGGTCTTAGTTGAGGCAGGCAGGGTCTTTAGTTCCCTGACCAGGGATCAAACCTGGGTCCCCTGCATTGCGAGCTCGGAGTCGCAACCACTGCACCACCAAGGAAGTCCATTTGCCTGATTCTTAAACATCCCTCATCCCACTCCTCACAATTTAGTGCCCTGGTGGCAGGGCCCAGATCTGTCTTGTTCAGTCTCCAGCTGGGGCCCGTCTCCCCACTAACCACTCACCCTCAGGGTCTTCAGAGTCTTGAGTGTTTGCCTGCACCGAAGCAGGAAACTCAGAAGGGAAGAGGGACTGCCTGGGAGAATGTTCTTCCATGTTCAGTCTCCCTCTCCTCCCGTATTCACTAATTCAAAAAAAGGGCCCTCTGCTCTCCTACATGGAGCCCCCAGCCTGGTGGAAGAACCCCAACATCTGAGCCTGGGGTAGGGGCAGAGCTGAGACAGAGGAAGAATTGAATTGAGGCCATGATTTGGGCCACGTTCATGATTTGGTCTGCTACTGTTAAGTTGCTCAGTATTGGCCGACTCTTTGGGACGCCATGGACCATAGGGAAGTCCTCTGTAATCTCATCTTGCATGCATGCTAAGTCGCTTCAGTATGTCTGACTCTGCGACCCTATGGACTGTAGGTCTCCAGACTCCTCTGTCCATGGGATTTCTCGGCAAACATACTGGAGTGGGTTACCATTTCCTTCTCCAGGCTTAGCACTTACTTAACAAACTTTTACTGAAGCCCTCCCCCTCCAGCCCCACCAACTTCCCTATACCTTGTACAAAAATTGAGGCTGGCATAGAAAACCTGCCTGCCAGGAAAAACCCAGGGCACATTGGCACAGACAGAGCACACGCAAGAAGAACAGAGTTGACTCAGCGGGGCTCGGAGCCAGCTGGGCCTCTGGAATCCGAAACTCCCCGCCCCGGGGCTGACGTGCAGGACACCACTCATACACTTGGCTGAGCCAGACTTCAGCATGGCAGATCCCAGCAGCTGTGACAGGCAGATGGGAAGGGCGGGGAGCAAAACCTTGACAAGGAGTAGATCTAAGCCACCATCTCTGCCCAGGCAGCCAGCTGGTTCAGCTGCCAGGTCTCGGCCTCTTTCTGAGTGAGGGTCACTGGTCTCCCAGAATGGGCTCTTCTCTCTGGCTTCTTCTTCTTTTGTCAAAGATATAATGGAAGATATAATGGATGGAACCTGGGTCCCCTGCATTAGCAGGTGGATTCCTTACCACTGCGCCACAGGGAAGCCCACCTCCCTGGCTTCTTGCGCTGAGAAATATAATCAGTTACTTTCTCAACCTGATGGCCGTTTCCTGATCCACTTCTCAGGGGCTTCTATCTCTGTGCTGTGTTTCAGAGGGCACAGAATACTCCCAAGGCTCTTAGAGACACCTGTAGTGAACAAGCTACAAAAGAGTTTCTCCAGGGGCCTGGAACTGACCCTGGACTGTATCCTAAAAACTGCTCTGTGGAATATGCCTTTGTTCCAGCAACAATTTATCACCATGATGAACTGTTTCTTTGACACCTGTTTTGTTCTGGCTGGGGCTTCCCTCATTCAAATGGTTAAGAATCTACCTGCAATGCAAGAGACCAGGTTCTATCCCTAGGTCGGAAAGATCCCCTAGAGAAGGGAATGGCTATTTACTCCAGTATTCTTGCCCGGAGAATCCCGCAGACAGATTATAGTTATAATCTGGCAGGTTATAGTCCATGGGATCACAAAGAGTTGGACACCACTGAGCATACACTATGAGGATCTTTTAAAAAAGGTAATTTTGAGGCTTCCTTGGTGGTCCAGTGGTTAAAATTCCGCCTTGCAATGCAAGAGACAGTGGTCTGATCCCTGGTCTGGGAAGATCCCACATACCATGGGGCAACTGACCCTTGTGCCACAACTACTAAGCCTGTGCACCCTGGAGATAATGAGAAGCTCTCACTCACCATAGCTAGAAAAAACCCACATGGAGCAACAAAGAACCAGCACAGCCAAAAATGAAGAAATAAAAAAACTGAAGCAACTAGCAGCAGCAGCAAATCAGTTCAGTTCAGTCGCTCAGTTGTGTCCGACTCTTTGCGACCCCAGGGACTGCAGCATGCCAGGCTTCCCTGTCCTTCACCATCTCCCAGAGTTTGCTCAAACTCATGTCCATCGAGTCGGTGATGCCATCCAACCATCTCACCCTCTGTCGTCCCATTCTGCCTTTAATCTTTCCCAGCATCAGGGCCTTTTCAAATGAGTCAGTTCTTTGCATCAGGTGGCCAAAGTATTGGAGTTTCAGCTTCAGCATCAGTCCTTCCAATAACTATTCAGGACTGATTTCCTTTTGGATTGACTGGTTTGACCTCCTTGCAGTCCAAGGGACTCTCAAGAGTCTTGTCCAACACCACAGTTCAAAAGCAGCAATTCTTCGGTGCTCAGCTTTCTTTATGGTCCAACTCTTACATCCATACATGACTGCTGGAAAAACCATAGCTTTGACCAAACAAACCTTTGTCAGCAAAGTAATGTCTCTGCTTTTTAATATGCTGTCTAGGTTGGTCATAGCTTTTCTTAAAAAGAGCAAGCATCTTTTAATTTCATTCCTGTAGTCACCATCTGCAGTGATTTTGGAGCCCAGAAAAATAAAGTCAGTCACTGTTTCCATTGTTTCCCCATCTATTTGCCATGAAGTGATGTGACCAGATGCCATGATCATTGTTTTTTGAATGTTGAGTTTTAAACCAGCTTTTTCACTCTCCTCTTTCACTTTTATCAAGAGGCTCTTAAGTTCTTCTTTGCTTTCTGCCATAAAGGTGGTGTCATCTGCATATCTGAGCTTATTGATATTTCTCCTGTCAATCTTGATTCCAGCTTGTGCTTCATCACTCCCAGGATTTCACATGATATCTCTGCATATAAGTCAAATAAGCAGGGTGACAACATACATCCTTGACATACTCCTTTCCCAATTTGGAACCAGTCTGTTGTTCCATGTCCAGTTCTAACAGTTGCTTCTTGACCTGCATACAGATTTCTCAGGAGGCAGGAGAGGTGGTCTGGTATTCCCATCTCTTGAAGAATTTTTCAATTTGTTGTGATCCACACAGTGTATAAAATACACACAGAGGAAAAAAAAGATAATCATGCAATTTTTTTTTTCGGAACCACTTCAGGATATGTTGCAGACTTGATTCTGTTACAGGTTCGATTAGTGCTTTTACTAAGAACAAGGACATTTGCTTATGTAACTGCAGCACAGATAGCAACTGGAGGAAGTTTGACCCTGACCTAATGCTGTTATCTAATCTATGGTCCAGATTCCAGTTTCATCAACTGTGCCCATCATGTCCTTTACAGAAATGCTTTCTCTCTGGAGTTCCATCCAGTATCACATGGTGAATTTCCTTGGTGTTTCCTTAAGGATTAGTCACCTCTGTCGTGTCTGATTTTGTGCGACCCCATGGACTGTAGCCCACTAGGCTCCTCTGTCCATGGGATTCTGCAGGCAAGAATACTGGAGTGGGTAGCGGTTCCCTTCTCCAGGGGATCTCCAGGGATTGAACCTGAGTTTCCTGCATTGCAGATGAAATCTTTACCATCTGAGCCACCAAGGAAGCCCCAAGAATACTAGAGTAGGTAGCCGTTTCCTTCTCCAAAGGATCTTTGCAACCCAGGGATTGAACCCAGGTCTCTTGCACTGCAGGTGGATTCTTTATCATCTGAGCCACCAAGGGACCCCAAAGTAGGATCTTGTTTATCTATCCTATATATACTGGTTTGCATCTGCCCAGTTCACCCCTCTCCCACATCACTCCCCCTTGACATCCACAAGTCTGTTATCTTTGCTCTATGTTTAACCACTTAACTTTTTTTTTTCTTGTCATGCAGCATGTGAGATCTTAGTTTCCGGACCAGGGATCAAACCCAGGCCACCTGAATGGAAGCTCGGAGTCTTAACCACTGGCCTGCCAGGCAGCCCCTAACCACTTGAATTTAGTGTTGGGTGATTGGTGTTGTAATGGGAAGCACAGAAGATGGCAGAGAAGAGGCCACCCCCAGCAGGAAAGGCTTTTGGTGAGGGGTTGGGGGGTGCGCCTGAGACTGAAGAGTCATAAGATTATCCAGACGAAAAGTGTCTGCAGTGAGTGACCCAGATTGGGGAAGACAGTGAATAACGCATGTAGCCTGGGATATGTGTCTGTTTTTTCCCGGACCAGGCCAGAGGGGCATT